TGAGAATCGGAGCAGGGATGCAGCAGGGCTGAACCCAAACGGTGTTTTTCGTTTTCGTTTTGTGTTCGTTTTCCCCCGCTTTTGTCTCGAATACGCCTCTACCGCAAAACGACGTCGAAATCAAAACGGCCCATGAAATCGCCAAAAACACCGATTAGGTCCACCCCTGGGATGCAGTAGGAGCTCCACTACACGAAACCTTCCACAAGAAACCCAAGCCTGGGACCCCAGGGATGTCGGTTGATTTTGGTGATGGGAACGTCACGCGTTCCATCGTAGAACCACGGCAACCAGAGAAGCCCAGAGCACCCTGGAGGCAAGCATATTATATATATGTATATGTATATGTATATATATATATATACATATATATATATATAGAGAGATGTGTGTATATATATATGTGTGTGCATATATTGTGTCTTGGCATGGGCGTTCTCTTTAGCTTGAGACAATATCGGTCCCTGGACCTCTCCCGCGGTCCAAACGCACCCAGTTTCCGAGCTGCGTCCAGCCGCGGCGACGAGGGGCCCTCCAGAAGACCAGCTGCGGCTGTCTCGACTGCACCTCCTCTGAGAGAAACCCCCGTCTCAATATTTTTGTCGGAACATTGGGTGTCTGGGATCGTGGACGACGACGACGATGACGACGACGACACCGATTTTGACGACGACTTTGACGAAGACGACAACGAGGAGACTACGACGACGACGACGACGACGACGACAGCGGCGGCGGCGGCGGCGGCGTCCGCGGCGGTGGCGACGTTGACGACGACGACGACGACGACGACGAATTTGACGACGACGACGCCGACGACAACCGCGAAGCTCGCGGCGCGCTCCGCGCGCGGAGCACGCGCCGGCGGGCCCGTGGCGGGGGGCCAATCGTCCTCCACGCCGCGCAGGCAGGCCGGGTCGACGGACTCGGCCGCGTCCTGGGGGGGAGGGGGCTCGGAGAACCACCGCTGCCTCAACCTCGTCGTGGGTCGTCGAACATCCACATCATGGCCACGCTGGCCGGGCCCCTGGGGCCGCGACGCCGCGAATAGGCTCTTCTGTGTGTCGCGGATGCCCCGCACTGGACGTCTCCGTGCGACCGCGTCTCCGCGGGACCGCGCCCCAGAATCCAGGCCGCGGCGGCGTGGATGCGGATAAGTTCGCCGCTCATGACCCCAGGCCCCCTCAAGATCTAAAAGACTTACCAGCGAAGATTCTCTCGCCATCTTCGGCTCGAAAAAGACGCTGGGGCCTCCGATTCCTCTCCTCATCCTCCTCCTCCTCACCTTCCTCGTCCCCGTGTGATGGCGTGGTTGCTGCCACCCCCCGCGCCTCTCGGGAAATGCCCAGGGCGGCCGCGTGGGCAGGGAGGTCCGTACCGGGCAGCGCTCCTCCGCGGGGGCGATGTGCGAAGGGTGAGGGGGTCCCCGGGCAGGTCTGCTGCCTGCGCTGCGGCGGCAGCGCCGAGACCGCAGCGGCGGTGCTGGCAAGTGCATGCCCAGGATGGCAGGAGCGCCCGCCGGCGCGCGGACCGGCGTTGCTCAGGTGGCGACATTCAAACCCTATTCCCCACCAGCCATCGATTCTCCCGAATCGCTGGAGGTGGGGGCAGGGTTCAGATTGGGCCACGTGTTCGACGAATTTGAAACCCTTCCCCCGCCGCCCATCGAGTTGCCTGAATCGTTGAATGGCAAGGGCAGGGTTCGGATTTCGCCGCCGATTACTGTTCTTCGCTGGCCTGCGCTGCGCCGGCGGCAGCGTGTCGGACTTCACTGGGCTGGCAGCGCGCCGCAACGTGCAGCTCCCAAAGGTACCGCGCCCGCTGTCCGCTGTGGCCGATCAGGAGTACAAGCGCGAGGATAGGGCCGAGTGAGCCGCGGGTGGAGAGCTGCGCGAGGCCCCAGCGGTGACGAGTGGCCGAGGCCCCCCAACCAGCAGCCTCCTGCACACACAGAGCACGTGATCATCACGTTCGGCCTCTGGAAGCCATGCTCGGACCACAGTGCCGCGAAAAGGCGACCCGGGGTGAGAGACTGCTGGCTCCCGAGGAGGGGTGCAGGCAGCAGGACTCGTGGGGGCTCCGCTCTCCTGCCTTCTGGTTCTGAACCTCAGGAAGGCCTGGGACGCGCGCCCTCCCGCCCCACCCTTCCTGGACCTCCCTCGCTTCCAGCGGTCCGCTCCGTGCCCAGCTCGGTGCCTGCTGGCGCGTCGTGCCCTGAGCCCGCTCGGCCCTGACGAGGAGGAGGATGACGACGGACAGGGCTGAACCTAAACGGTGTTGTTCGTTTTCGCTTTGTTTTCGTTCTCCCTCGTTC